ATGGGAACAAACAAAGCAAGAACCAATCGCCCAACAAATATGCAGGAGAAAGTGGAGATGGATCGGACACTCGCTGAGGAGACCGCTGGGTGACATCGCGCGCCAAGCCCTCGAGTGGAACCCGAAAGGGAAGCGGCGTGTGGGACGTCCAAGGGTGACATGGAGGAGATCGTGTGAAGAGGAGTTGAAAGAATATGGATTAACATGGATGCAGGCGAAAAGTATTGCAGAAGACAGAAGAAAATGGAGACGTGCAGTTGAAGCCCTATGTTCCACTAGGAACCCAAGGGAGCAATAATAAATAATAATAATAATCATTCCCCTTGTATGTAGTCGTCGATCCTCTTACTGAAACCATTGTAATTTAACCGAGGGCTTTGGAGACAACTGCACAGCAAGAGAAGGGAAATGAACGATTCACAAAACAGCACATCATCAGTCACCTCGGTGAATACATCTACAGAAACTAGTCTAACTTAGCAGCTGATACTCCTCACTATAACTGGGACGTATTTTCAAATCATGTCAGAGGAAGACACCCTGTTTAATGTGTTTTCATGCATTTTCTTGTGAATATACGTCATTTTGTGTGCAAAAATTCCTCATTTATATGATTGGCTGGCTGGCTGTAGGTCACTCGTGCGTTCGCATCCTTTGGAACGCTATTGTAGAACTTTGCCCGTGCTTGATCACTAGCCAGCTAGGCATCTGTCTCGCTCTACAATTTGGTCCCGAAGTATATCTCATAGTTTGGTTGATCAATTCTGTTCTTTTGCTTTGCCTTTAGTCCATGAGGAACGAGTGCTATAGAAGTTATTGGTATTAGATCTTGTGTTTACTTGCGTATACTCCGTACAGTCCGCGAACGTCAATACCATCAGCCTCCAAAAGCGTTATAGTTGAGCATATATTCAACAGTGGCCACTCAATATGTAACGAAGAGACATTCAAAGTTGTCTACAAAGTCAAAAGAAGCCTCCTGAAAGCGGTACGCTTCGGTGTACTTTGCATTGTCGGGACCTTAACAATTTGGGCGGTAAACTATGATTTATATACACAGGAGAGACTTCTCCATCCTTTCTTTTTACCTTGGGGTTTAACTCCAGGCTCGACTTCTTTTACGAATACTTTGTCATTAATATTTCTTGTTGTCTGTTTTCATGTGACATTTTTTTGATATCATTTTAACCAACCTTTTGTTCAGTCTCATTCCGCACCACATGATTTATTTTGGACACTTGTCTCCATGCTCTTTCATTAATTTTTTTTTTTACAGCTTGATTCCACACCGTATTTTGGTACAAGTGTGGAATTTTCAGAATGTGACATCGGTAGCCCAAATTTTGCAGGCCGACCATAAATATCAGGTGTGCGTCGGCGGGGGGTTAAACCCCGAACGATGTGTATGGTCGACGAGAGTCCTAACCGCTGTGCCACAGACGCACAGTTCAGTTTTTCTGAATGTTTTTCACATTACTCAACCTCAATCTTAAATTACTAATCACATTTGATCATAGGGAATAAAGAGACAGTTGCAGCGAGGAAAATTTTGCTTTCCGACAAAATCATCAACTAGGTAGAGCTGTACATGCGTGTATTTATAATAAATGGGTGAGGGTGGGGAAGGTTCCAGAATAATTTCGAAAAATCCCCCAAAACAAAATATAAAAGTAAGTAGATCAAACCCATCAAAGGGAGTAAAATTAAGACATCTAGGTATAGCCGGGCTAAGTTCAACAATAGCGTTCCAGGGATGCGAACGCTCCAATGACCTTCAGCTGACCAATCATAAAAATGAGGAATGTTGGCTCAAAAAATGATGTATATTTACTAGAAAATGCTCGAAAACACGTTAAAATAGGTTGTCTTTCTCTGACATGGCTTAAAACTACGTCCTAGTTGTAACGAGGAGTATCAGTTGCTAAGTTAGACTAATTTCTGCACATGTATTCACCGAGATGACTACAGATAAACTGCGCTTGTGAATCGCTTATCTCTCTCACCCTGCTTGCAGTCTTCCAAAAAAGCCCTCGGTTGAATTGTTATGGTTTTGCAGCAAGAGGATAAATGACTACTTACCAGGAAGACGTGGATAATAAAACAAATTACAATAAATGACATCAACTATAAATCTATCCCTAATCGTAACCATAAGCTTAATCCTGACCCTAACACTAACCTTAATCCTCACCCTAATCATAACCCTTAGTCAAACCGTTATTTTAACCCTAGTGCTAATTATAACCCTAACCCTAACGGTAACCCCAATACTTACCTTAACCCTAATCCTGACCCTAACGAGCTATTAATACATTGTTCAAACAGTGCTTAAAAACGTGATCTGGGTGATATTTGCGTTGATATTTCAGTTGTGATAGTGATAGATGCCGTTAGCCAACGATTAGCATGCGTTCAAGGTCATTGGGGCGTTCACACTCCTGGGACGCTATTGTTCAACTTTGCCTGTAGCCGAGGCACTAGCCATTCAAAAGCTCAAACCCATGCTATGTATCCAAAAGAAACACGTTCAACCCTTGTCCCTGCCATGACCATCATAAACAGGTAATTCTTATAATAGTGACTATCCCGTTGACTTTCTTATCCAAACTTCCTGTTTATTCATGTTATTTTTTTTAAGTTTTTCATAATCTCTCCCCTATTCACACTACCATATTTTCATATCCAAACTTCCTGTCTATTTTGTTATTTTATTATTTCTATATATTTAATCCCTAACAGCATAAACACAATTATTCGTCACATTAGTTATGATCCCACTAAATTTTTTCTTATCCAAACATCCTGTCTATCTATTGTTGTTATTTCTACATTTCTAACCCCCCCCCCCCCCTAATTACACATTCAATGTCAATCTTCTCAGTAATTATGATGCTACTTTGTTTGAGTTTTATCCGTCCCCCGTCTGTTTATTATTATGGCATTTTAATTTCTAATTGTAATTCTATTATTGATCTGACCCTTGACCAGAAATTATTCTGGAACTTTCTCATCCACCCATTTATTATAAATACACGAATGTACAGCTCTACCTAGTTGATGATTTCGTCGAAAAGAAAATTAATAATCTTCACCCCACCCTAGTTACAATTTGATTATTAACCACCATGTTAAAAATATTTGAATGACTTAAACAATACCCCCAAGCTAATGTTTACTCTTGTTTAACAAACCTAATATGTACACACATAGTAATGATCATATATAATCACCGCTGTACGACTAATTGAATGAGTTCCCCGAAAAGAGACTCTTCACTGAACAGTATGTTCTTACTTAGATGTCTAGATGGGTACTTTTTAAGTAACAAGAAAACTGTGGAAAGGGGCCAACCAAGAATGTGTTACTCAACACACATGGCGAAAGACATAGAGACAGGTTGGGCACACATGAGTGACATCACACACTCTAGGTAGTTCCTCAAGGGCAACCTGAATAGGAAACAAGGAATTAGGCGTCCAAGGGTGTGTGTGTGTGTGAAGCAGATCGTGTGAGATGGAATTCAAAGCCCATGAGTAAAAGATAGAGGAAAATAAAATGGACTGCAGATAACTGAATCAAATGGAGATATGCCTATCGATGCCTTATATTCTACTCGTAATAATTATATTATCTTTTAGCATAATAATCAAACAAGCCCTAGATGAAAAACTTCGTCCGGAACAGGCCGGATTCAGGAGAAACAAGTCATGTATTGATCAAATAGCCACTCTACGGATCATCATTGAACAAAGCTTGGAATGGCAGTCACCTCTCCACCTCACTCAAATTCATCAACTTTGAAAAGGCCTTCGATAGCTAAGCGTAGATCGAAAGGTCATTTGCCAACAACTTCGCTACTACGGGGTCCCATCGACAATTATACATCTCATCCAACAGTTAGTTGTACGACAATGCTGCATGCCAAGTAATCCACAACGGGAAATTTACGGAAACCTTCGAAGTGAGGACGGGAGTGAGACAAGGCTGTCTACTATCGCCAATGATCTTCCTGATTGCAATTGATTGGATAGTGCGACAGACAACGGCAAACAACGAGGGAACAGGCATAAAATGGACTCACACAAAAGACTTGGAGAATCTGGACTTCGCCGATGATATATGTATCTGATTTCCCACAAACTGGAAGATATGCAAGTGAAAAGCAACAAGCTCGCAGAAGTAGCATTCAGAGAAGATAGGACTTCAAGTGAACATAGAGAAAACAGAGGTGATGAAGATTCCTGGCCAACACCAACAGCAATAACAACAGACGATAATCAGTCAGCATAAATAGGAGGAACATGAAAGAAACAACGTCCTTCACCTAAGTGCCTTCCTGGGAAGCATCGTTTCAACTACAGGCGGACAGAACTGACGAGGATATCAAAGCCAGAATTGGAAAAGCAAGACAAGCTTTCATTACTCTCACCATGTCTGTGTGGAGGCCAACAGCACTGCTCAGCATCGAAAATAAGATCCGGATTGTCAACTCCAATGTGAAGTCAGCGCTACTGTACAGATCAGAGACTTGTCCAGCGCGTCATAAAGAGCCTCTCAAACAAACTTCAGACCTTCATCAACAGTTGTCTTCGCTCAATACTACTCAAGATGAGATGGCCGGCCAGAAAATATCAGCAACAGGGATCTCTGGCAATGAGCGAACCAACTCAGCAGGAACCGATTGTGAAACAAATAGGAAGGAAGAAATGGAGATGGATTGGCTGGTCATACACTGAGGAAACCATCAATTGAATGACATCATTAGACAAGCCATCGCTCGTGTGGAACCCGATAGAATGGGAAGAGGCGAGTGGGTCGTCAGTGCAAGGGTAACTTGGAGGAGGTCATGTGAGGGAGGAGGAGATGAAAGCATGTGGGTGGCAGACCTGGAGCGGGGTGAAAATGTTGTCAGAAAACCGAAGGCAATGGAGGTACGCAGCTGAATCCCTATGTTCCTCTAGGAACTAAAGGATACAATAATAATAATTTGAAAGCGAATTTCAATCGGATAGATGAAAATCATTCAGACTTACAATACAACGATAACAGTCAATGTGAAATTCTTTACCAAGAGCTACAACTCGTCGAACTTCATCTGAACCCTGTGAATTAAAACAAACAAACAAACAAAAAAAAGCCAGTTATAATTTTCTCTGCTCGATCTATTTTAGAATGCGAACTGTAAAATGAATAACTCACCCGATTATGCCATTCGGCTTCAAGTGTTAGTGTGAGGATTGACAATTTCTATCTCTGTATTGTTTAAATACTTACTGTTGTTTGTTGGTGCGTCGGTGGCACAGTGGTTAGGACTCCCGCCGAACATGCACATGGTCCGGGGTTCGAGCCCACGCCGACGCACACCTGATATCTATGGTCGGCCTGCAAAATTTGGGCTACCGATATCCACGCTGAAAATTCCATACTTGTACCAAAACTGCAGTGTGGAATCAAGCTGTAATCATAATAATAAAAAAAATCATAATATTTCGTTTATAAATTGAAATATAATTCCGTCAAATTCAAATTCCTGAATTCATCCCTCTTTGGGTGTTTAGTTGAATTCCACTAATTCGATCATTGCGATCATACAAATACTACTACTGCTGTAGCAGGTCGAAGATGAGGCAGTAACTCATCGAAGAAGACATTGCGAAGTGGTCGCGCTATGTCGTGAATTGGCAGAAGTTAGAATTGAAGAACCATTGGATCGGGTCCCAGTGGCTCAATGCTCTACGAGCTCGCCTTGTAACCAGAAGGTCCTGGGTTCGAACCCCGGTGGGTGCGTACTGCTGAGGAGTCCCAAACTAGGACGAAACAGCTGTCCAGTACTCCCAGGTTTTCCAGTGGTTCTCTAACTGATGTCAGCTCATGATTAAATCCTCCATACAATCAAACCAAATCCCTACAAAACCAATACTATTTCAAATAATTATAACACGTTGGCGTCTCTATGGAACTAAATAATCTTGGAAAGTTTCCTATGAATGGTTCACCGTGGGGTTATCACCGATTATCTTGAATGTTTCGATGCATAGTGCATGTTGAAGAATATTCGCGATGACAAAATTCCAGCTTATTTTATTACTGCTATTGGTCTAGATGCGTACAGTCTAGTAAAAACTATGTCATTTCCAGATAAACCAATTTCTCTGTCATATGATAAACTCCGTGGACTTCTAATAGATTACTTCCACATAACAATTTTCGAAACACAGAGAGGGATGAATTCAGGAATTTGTATTTGGCGGAATCATTAATAATTCTTATAAGAAATATATCAGCAAGCAACAGTAAGTATTTAAACAATACAGAGATAGAAATTGTCAATCACCACATCCGCCAAACATCGAATGTCTCTTTTCTCATTTATAATGATGTCTAGGTTTGCTTGCAAGTAGATGTGACCTTCTAACTGATTCTGTGATATTATTTTCATCAGTATCATCTAGACTTATTTCTGAATTATCTACAAAATCAGGATTAGAAGCGGTATCATTAAAATTATAATCGGAGTTAGTTTTCAGGGGGTTTGATTGGTTTCACGTTAAACTACGAATTGACATCAAAATAAGCGATTCAGCTAAGAGACTCTTCTCAGAAAATTCATTTTCTTCAGCTGAATGGATTCAAGGACACTATCTTGCATGCTTACAGAAAGGCGACAGCAGCAGTAGCTCTATCAAGAGTTTGATGAACGAATGAAGAATATTTTATCTAAGAATAGAGATATCCTGAGAAGTTCATCAATAAATACTCTAAAGAAATTAGCCCTCCCCCCGCCTGCAAAACAATCAAAACAGTTCCGAAGAAATCTGTCTATATCAGTTTGCCATTCAAAGGAGATGATGTGTACAAGAAGTAGTCAAACGAAGACACGATAAAGCCATTGAAGAGAACTTATTATGCTGCAAAACTTGTTATCCTTAACATCACCACCAAGCGAGTGCTTCAACAATCTGGAAAAGACCAGTTGCCAATCCTCGACAGACTTCAAACTGCGTATATCGATTTGAGAGTGTTTGTGGAAGTAAATACATAGGTTGTACAGAAAGGCGATTGTCTACTCGCATGATGAAGCATTCACCAAAATGGTTGAAAACATCTTGTAGACTAAGGACATGATATTGACGCTGTCAAGTCATTCACTTTTATTGTCAGCAGACAAAGAAACAAGAAGATGCTTGTAATTGTGGAGGAGGCTTGTGCAATTTGAGTTTATAAACCAGGTCTCTGTGTACAAAAGGAGATGGTCGTCACTCTGAATCTGCCATGGTAATACGTTTTACTTATTATTCTACCTATTATTATTATTATTCTTGATTCATTTAAAACTATCCTTTATCAGTAGGATTATCTTAACCCACTTCAGCAGTATTATTATTATTGTTATTGTAACTATTACTATTGATATTACTCTGTTTGCAATTTTTGTTACATTCTCTGACTGATTGTTTATCTAAGTGATGTAATTGAAGCGTAGTGCATTTTATCTTAATTTTAAACCCTTATACTCCCTCTCCCCTTGTCTATTTGAACATGACCCGGGAAACATTCGCACCTGTCTCTCTGCATGACTAATTCAATGTAGTTTGTTTACTTATCAGTCTTATATCTCCCAATATAATTTCAAAAGCATATATATATATATATCCGTGTATGTAGAGTATTCATTCAGCTGACGAGTTCTACCGAAATTTGATGAATTCATTAAGTCATCCTGCTTTATTAACCTTTATTGCTTGTTTTAAATGAACTCTCTGTTAACACTAATCATTCTATCTAAACAAACTTTTCCTTCAAGATGAACTGTAGCGGGGAAAAACATCCTACCATTGAAGGCAACACGTTTTCTTCTTCACCACACAATGCTGAAGCTTTAGCGATTCATAGGGGATTACTGGGACTCTGTATACAATCGCTTCTGTTGTCGTGGAGACAACCTTAGTTTTTTCCTCTACCAACTTGGTTTAAGTTTTTTTGTTTTTTTTTATTTATCATTATTTTTATTTTATTTTTTATTTTTGATTACAGCTTGATTCCACACCGTATTTTTGGTACAAGTGTGGAATTTTCAACGTGGATATCGGTAGCCCAAATTTCGCAGGCCGACCATAGATATCAGGTGTGCGTCGGGGTGGGCTCGAACCCCGGACCATGTGCATGGTCGGCGAGAGTCCTAACCACTGTACCACTCTTCGATTTTCCTTGAACTCTTACTTAATATCACATTTCCTTCCGTTTCTATGTGCATCCTGATGGCAACTTATTCATCAAATTATTTATCCCAATTATGTAACTGCGATATCCTTATACTGTTCCCTTTATGTGTTTTGATTGATAACAGTTGTGATTATGACAACTCATCACTTCTTTAGAATTCTCTTTTGTGCAGTTGAGTGTAAATGCTGTCGCACAGCCAAAAAAAATGGATCCACTGAAAGAGCCTCTTCGCTGAACTACTTATTTTGTTGTTTCCATTAATGCCTGGATGGGGAATTATTCATGTCTGTCTGTCTGTTTTCGACATAGAACTTTGCACAGATGTGCACCAGTTCAAGTCGCCATACTCCACTCCTTGTTGTAGCACACAAAGCAAGAGAAGAAAGTAGAAGAAATGCACAAGAGAGAGACAGTAAACAGAGGTGTGAGACAAAGGAATAGTAATAACGAAGAACAAAATAGTTTCATTGAAAATTATAAGTCACAAGGAGTGGATGCATCTGCATTAGCCACTGACAGCGATTTTGAGCCATATCACCAGTTGTTTCCAACCACTGGGTTTTACCGTCCCGAGGACCCCAACAAGTCAGTGAGGAAGTCTACACCTTCCTACGTGGCTTAGACTAACTGTTGTAGATTTCATTGACTGGTGCCATGTTTTTGTTTGACCTTCGCTAACTCTTTTCCAGCCTGACCCTATATCAGGCGATGACTAGGCATACGTAACACATGTCCTAACCATCTCAATCGATTTAATTTCATAACCTCGTCGATTGATTTCCTCTGCTTACCTAGAACTCGACCGATGCCAAACATCAATATTGCTCACCTTATTATACCACTTCACATGGGAAATAGAATGCAGGCACCTATGATCAAAGACATCTAGTCGACCTTTTCAAGTCTTCCACTCTCAATGGCCAGATCTCACAGCCAGCCATGAAGGAGGACGGAGCGGACTGATGAGCAGTACACATGCCCTTTGGGGGTCGATAGCCAGTCGGATATCACGTCTACTAAGCCAGAGACGGTGTAAACTGGCATATACGAAACTAGCCCTCTGTATCCGTACTCATCTGAGATTTCGTCAGAGATCAACTCGTTGGCGCTGGCTGATGGTACTTCCCAAACAAGTGAAGCGGTTAACGTGCTCTTCGTGAATTGATATCAGTTGAAGAACCATTGGAAATCAGGAGATGTGGATTAAACCACATCAAAGTGGGTCTTAAATATTATTGAAATATAAATCTTCTAGTGTGATCAACTCTCGGAAGTTTCGTGAGCAATACAAAAGGATGCATCGATTAGTTTTCCACCTTCAAACCGAAATACTTGAGTATTTCCATGTACTCACTCTACCGTCAGTCACTGGAAAACACATGACAACAGGATATAAAAATGTAACGTGTTACCTACCTCTTCTGGCGTAATCACTAATCCACAGACAGCGCACAATGGACCATAAACGAGATGATAATCTGGTAGGCAGTAGATTAAATTACGTGAGTCCACTGTAAATGGTATTCCATCCAAGCACTTTGTACATATACAACATCGGAAACATCCTGGATGATATGTATTGCCCATGGCTAAAAGAATCTGTAGAATAATAATAACAGGAGTAAAAATCGATGAAGTAAATAGTTGATAAATTAAATATTATCAAAATAAAAGATTTATTGAACATATTCACCTGTATGGTTGAGCAGAAGGAGCAAATAAATACGTAAATAGTAACGTCTTAACCCCCTTGGTAGATAGAGACTGGACATTCAATAATAAAACCGGAGTAGACCTTATCAGTCTGTCTGTCTGGATGGATTCAACATAGAACTTGGCACCGAAGTGCAGCACTTCAAGTTACCACGTTCCAAATAGCACCCAAAGGTAGACAAGAAGATGAGTGGAGAAAATTAATAGAGTTTGACAAGTATAAGAGTGAAACAGAATGGGTAATGGTAGAAAGGAATATGAAAGATCACAGAGACTGAATACATCTGCGTTGGCCATTGACAACGATTTTGAGCCATGTCACCTATTGTCTCCAGCCATTGATTCTTAGAGTCCCGAGGGCCCCAACCCGGAAGTCTGCATCTCCCTACCTACCGACTCAGTTTAACTGTCAAGGATTTCATGGATTGATGAGGCCATGTTTTTGTTTGGCCACCACTGGCTCTTTCCCAACCTGCACCACCTATATCAGCTAGTAATGCCCGTCGGGGGAGGCGATGGTTAGGCATGCCCAGACACGTGACCTAGCCATCTCAGTCTATGTGACTTTATAGCCTCGTCGATTGATTTTCCCTGTTTGCCCAACACTCTACGCCTAACGTCAACATTACTTACCTTGTCAAACCACCTAACGTGAGACAGGGATCGCAGACATCTATGATCGAAAGCAGTCAACCTTTTCATGTCTTCAACTCGTATTGGCCATGTTTCAGAGCCATAGAGAAGGACGGAGCGAATTGATGGGCAGTACACACGTCCCTTGGTTGATAGCCCGATGTCACGCCTACGCCAGAGATGGTGTAAGCCATCGACAGCAGCTCGAGCCTTTTGGATCTGTGCTGAGATTTAGTCGCCAATCAGTCCGTTGGTGCTGATACAACTTCCCAAATAGGTGAAGTGGTCAACATGTTCTATCACTTCACTTCCTATCACTAAGCTAGAGGAGTTGACGTAGTCCAGTCCTGTAGCAGCATCTTACATTTTACAGGGGCGAATCGCATGCCAAACATACGAAGATTGCTGCTCAAGGTGTTCAGAAAACTCTGCATTTTGTCAGCATCCTTCCCTAACAGGACTATGTCATCTGCATATTCTAAGTCCATAAGATTATTCCCTGGTAACAAGTCGATTCCTAAGTCATTACGTTCAGTTAAGGATACTTCCATCAGCATATCTATGATGAAGTTAAACAGAAATGGGGAAAGTGGACATCCCTGTCGGACACCACTGGCTGTTATCAATTCAGATGACAATTCCCCACAAGCCCTTACACGACTACGTGAGTTTGAAAAGAGTGCCTTGATTCGTGCATTGTACTTTCTTGGCACTCCCTTCACAGTCAAACATTGCCATAGTACCTTTCGATCCACGGAGTCGAAGGCCGTCTTCAAGTCGAGAAATATGGCAATTGTTGGACGCCGAAAAGTGTGTCTATGTTCTAGAATCTGTCGAAGAGTGAAGATATGATCTATGCACCCTCTACCTGGTCTAAAGCCTTCTTGATTTTCCCTCGTTTGTTCCTCCCGAGTTCTGCTTAGTCTGTGCATGATTACTGAGCCTAGGATTTTAGAGACTATGTTCGTTAGGCTGATCCCCCTATGATTATCACACGAGGACTTGTTTCCCTTCTCGAATATCGGTATAGTAAGTGACTTACCTCAGTCTGATGGAACCGTCTCTGATTCCCAGACGTTGCCTAGTACCTTAGTTAATCTACAAACTAGTATGTCACCCCCATATTTAAACACCTCCGGAATAATTCCGTCGGGTCCTGTCGCTTTGACTCGTTTCAAATTACAGATAGCTTTTGTGACCTCACTTACAGACGGCGGACCAGTGTCTATATCCCATTCGGGTGTGTGCTGGGTGTTGGGGAGGTTCAGTGTGGCTGTAGGCAAGTTAAATTTTTCCTAAAAGTGTTCTTTCCAGCGTTCAAGGCGTCTATCCTGAGAGCTTATTAAAGAGCCATTTTTCTCAGAAATAGTCTCACTTATGATTTGCCTTCTCCCACCCGATTCTGTGATGAGTCTAAAGAGTTGCCTAGTGTTGCCTTATCAGTGATCCACTGCCTCCCTGGTTATTTACCTACAGGAGGGCTCGAGTGTGTCTTCTACCTCAATAAATAGCTTAAGCGATAGCAATCAATACCAGAAAATGAGGTTTCTGTATCCCAGAGAAGTATTTTTAGCCTAACCGCCTATATAACTGGATAAAATTATTACTATGATTGTTCCCTTGGGTTCCAAGTGGAAAACAGGGCTTCAGCAGTACGTCTCCACTCTGTCCTATTCTATGCGGTCCTTTTTAGTTGCTCCCAAGATTGTTGATAGTCTCGCATCACTTCCGCATCACTCTCGAACAAAAGTCCAACTTGTCTTTTTCACTCGGGTTCAACTTGGGAGACGGCTTGACTGGAGATGTCACCCAACGATCTGCTTAGTATGTGTCCGATAAATCTCCACTTTTTCTGGTCTTTATTATTGAGTAACTGGTTATTGATCGGTTGATTGTGTTTCCCAAACAGAATCATTTGTATTGGCACTGGTGTTTGCGCTGACCTAGCGAGCATATGACATTTTTGCAACGTATACTACTATTATAGAGAATGCAAATGGGCAAACCCTGGGGAAAGAGTGGGAAAATGAGCAGTTTCGATCGGATAAGAGGTGGTCACAAAGTGGGTGAAATGTAACATAAAATACTCACTTTCCCCATTTTTACCAATTCACCCCCCCCCTCAAGTTGTCACCCATTTCTTTAATTTTTCCCATTTCTCTGAAGAAAATCAACTGCCTACTCCTACTCATTTACACTGCGTTCTTAACGAACAAATTACCCGCTTTTTTTCTATGTTCTCAAATGTCAGCATAAAAAATACAGAGCTTTTCTTCCACGTCACCCATACCATTCCCCGAAATACTCACATTTTCCCTTCTTTGTTCCGTTATGAACATAAGGCTACCACCTATGGTTCTACCTACTTTTCTGGTGTTCATGAAAAAATTCTCCAACCGGGTAACTTTTTATTTATTGGTTGATAAGTTATATTATCGACATCAACATCACTGTTGACTGAAGAATGATCTGGGTACCAGACTTTTGGGAATTCTCCAGAGTCTTTAGTATTTCCGCTGAGTACAATTCCTACATTTTCCCAGTCGAATCGATGTATACAGCTATCCATATATACTGATATGAAAGAATACATGCTATATCTGTTCAGGTATTGGTGTGTAGGGATTTGATTGACTGGTCACAGGATTTCATCATGAACTGACATTGGTTAGATAACCATTGGAAAGCCCAATGGGAGTACTAGAAAGCTGTTACAACGTGAGCTAGTATACCAGAAGGTTCCGGGTTCGAACCCCGGTGGATATGTTCTGATGAAGAGTCCCAAACTGGGACGAAACAGCTATCTAGTACCCCCATTCCAATGGTTCTCTAACCGATGTCAGCTCATGATGAAATCCTGTAACATTTCATGTCTGTTGGTGGATGCTAAGTCGAAGAGGACGCCCACTTTGGTCAAAGTTGATTCAATTTATCTCACAAAATGGTGTTCATTCTGCCCTCTTTTATTGTTGAGTCTTCTGGTCTACACACTATCAAGTGAAGCGAATGGGTGTACGCGTGTATGTCGGTTTGTGTGTGAGATGTCTATTTCGAACATTCAAGGTTATCATGAGATACAGTTTGTATCATTCGTAGAGAATCCCAAAATATTCCCGCTCTACAAGCGGGGGGACATTGAAGTCAAACTATAGCAGCCACCTTGCAACTTAACCGTTGACAACCAATCAGAGTTACAGGTGTTATAGCGAAACCAAATTCGACATCAGGGAGGACGATGTGTTTGATTATTGTGTAAAAATGAAACCGATTAATTCGAGTTACTAAAACATGCCTATTCAGAAGAATTTTGACAGAATAAATGGTCATTTGGGAGGATTATGATTTTAGCGTAAAATAAAGAACAGGATCAGAAATATTTGAACGAATCAAGGAATACCATGGTATATAGATATATTTTTAATAAATTTGGTAATTGTATCCCTGATATATTCTGATTAGCTACTCAAGATTTGTCTGTGGGAAGTTCTACTGGGGTAGCTGCTATAACTTCACCCTCTCGAGATGGTGCTTGGAAGACTGATGATGATAGCTACTCAACACTGAAGTAAAACAACCACCACATCCATCTCAGCTACAAATCTTCATAATTATATCGTGTTTCTGAAGCTTATGGAAAAACCAGTACTTCTTAAACTTGAACCCTCCCTTAAAAGCTTCGAAGACCCCAAAAAATTCGCCTGTAGACAGGGTAGGAGCACTTTAGACGCTGCAGCCATCTTACGCAAAAGTATTGTCTCATCATTAGATAAAGGTGTCAAATACTTCCGCTGCACGTTTCTCGACTTCACTTCTGCTTTTGACTCTGTACCTAGATGTCTTTTGCTAAATAAGCTCTTTATGAAACAAACTAAGTCCTGGGTCACTAACCGGTTGCATTTCTACTTCTCTAACAGAATGCAGTACACTGTATATATATATAAAGCTAAATCCTCCTCTGCTGTGCTTACTGAAGCTGGTGTCCTCCGAGGTGCTGTACTCTCCCCACTTCTCTTTTCTTTCTTTCTACATGACTTACCATCTTCAAATGACATTAATTTTTTCAAATATGCTGACGAACTGACTGTATCTTTTCCTGTCAAGTGTCAAAGTAACCGCTCCAAACTAAATGGCTTTTTATCAGATATCAGGCAGTGATCCAAGGAAAACGGTCTTACTTTAAATTTCTCTAAATTTCAAACAGTCAGTTTCATCTTTAGGCACAAATCTGATCTAAACAAAGTGGTTAACACTCACGAGGTGTTCAACATAGATGGCACTGAAATAGAAACCAAGTCGGAAATTAAATACTTGGGCGTCATTCTATCTGACGACCTTTCCTGGTCGTCCCATATCTTGATGATTTCTAAGAAAATATTCCATCTTACCTTCTACATCAAGAAGTTAAGATATTCTGGTGTGACCCAACCCTTACTCCCACAATTCGTTAACTCTTGCATTCTGTCTATTATTCTCTATTGTTCCCCCTTAGTCTTTCCTGGGCTATTGAAGAAAGACTATACCTTATTACGTAGGATGTTAAAGGTTGTCAGCAGGGTAAGCCACAGGGTGCCACTTAACCAGCTTGATAATATTCTAGTCGACAGACACTTGGACTCATATGAAAAATAGGTTCAATCCACTTTATCTAACTCACACCACCCTATTCATTCACAACTCTCCCCTTGTATCTCATCAGGCAGAACCAGAAGCCTATATAGGAAACTATATGCTCGCGCTAGTAACTACAAAAACTCAACCATACCCTACTTAGCTCGTGTTCTGTGCGATAAAGAAGGCATTAGGCATGATATCTATAACTTATTAAATAGTCGATAGAACAAGTGGATCTCGTCTCTCCAACTCATGTCATCTATAGGTACAACGTTTTCTTTCTTTCTTTTCCTTTTCTCTCTCTCTCTTTTTTCCGTTATGTGCAGCCTTGTTTCTTTCTTCCGCTTACGCCAGTAAATATGCTAGTAGTATCTACTTTTCTAACACCTTCAAACACTTTGTTCAATTTCGGCTTTGCCGACATGCTAACAAGTTGTTGTCATAATGAACTGAGATTTCCTTAATCCATGTAGAATTTTAATTATTGATAATGTACTAACTGGATGCAATACTGTATGTAGTGAAATGCTGAGAATTCCATTCTGTATCACAAGTACTGTTTTGGAATAAAGCAAATTATTATTATTATTATTAATATTAAATGATCCAGAGAGCTGCTCCTTCGACAATCCACCAGTCAGTTTCACTTAGTATACCATAAAGTTGTTCCAGTGGTTCATTATTTCAGAATTTTCGAGAATACATTTAATCAGTCGAATGAATGTAAAAATAGAAGAAAAAAAATTACTCGTCGTTAGAACACTTACAGTTTCAGCTATTATATGTCCACAAGCGAAACATTTCTCCACTGTCTGTTGAAAACCACAATACTGCAAAGAAAAGAAAAGAAAAAAAAGGTAAACGGTGAAATGAGAAATATTAATCAATTGAGTTTTTATTATTTGACTGGTTGGTTTGGAGGATTTCATGATCAGCTGACATCAGCTAGAGTACTGGACAGCTGTTTCATCATTGTAGTTTGGGACTCTTCAGTAGTACGCATCCACCCTCAGAGGCTTCAAACCCAGGACCTCCTGGTTACAACGCGAGCTAGCTCATAGACCACCATTAAGCCACTGGGACCTGATATAGTGGCCAGCACATGAACTCTAACTTCTGCCAATTCATGACATAGTGCTGCGACTATGCAATGTCTTCTTCGATGAATTACTGCCTCACCTTCAACCTACTGTATTCAGCTGGTCAAGGCTTCCAACTAGAAGCCCAGGTAACCACCTGCCTGAATGGAGCCAGTCGACAGTGAGCATCAGATTAATTTTCAAGTATTCATTTCGTAAGGGGTTTTTCATCTAACCTGTTGGAGGATTTCATCATGAGCTGACATCACTTAGTTCTAGTGGGAAGCCTTGACCAGTAGGGTACAGCAGGTTGAGGGTGAGGGAGTAACTCATCGAAGAAGACATTACGAAGAGGTCATGCTATGTCATGAGCTGGCAGAAGTTAGAATTTATGGGCTGACTTGCCATTGGACCGGCTCCTAGTGGCTTAATGTTCTACGAGCTAGCTCACCTTGTAATCAGAAGGCCCTGAGCTCGAACCGTGGGTTTGGGTGTGTACTTATGAAGAGTCTGAATTATTATTATTACTATTATTATTATTATTATATCCTTTAATTCCTAAAGGAACATAGGGCTTCGGCTGTGCACCTCCATTGCCTTCTGTTTTCTGACAACTTTTTCACCCCGCTCCAGGTCTGTCACCCACATGCTTTCATCTCCTCCTCTCTCACATGACCTCCTCCAAGTCACCCTTGCACTGACGACCCACTCGCCTCTTCCCATTCTATCGGGTTCCATACGAGCGATGGCTTGTCTAGTGATGTCATTCAGTTAATGGTTTCCTCAGTGTATGGCCAATCCATCTCCATTTCTTCCTGCCTATTTGTTTCACAATCGGTTCCTGCTGAGTTGGTTCGCTCATTGCCAGAGATCCCTGTTGCTGATATTTTCTGGCCGGCCATCTCATCTCGAGTATTGAGCGAAGACAGCTGTTAATGAAGGTCTGAAGTTTGTTTGAGAGGCTCCTTATGACGCGCTGGCCAAGTCTCTGATCCGTATTGTAAATAGCACTGACTTCACATTGGAGTTGACAATCCGGATCTTATTTTTGATGCTGAGCAGTGCTGTTGACCATAATAATAATACACTAATATTTAGTTTTTTACATCAAAAGTTTCTACCATTCAAGTAGTTATTTTAGTTGATTACTTTTAGGTAAAGGGGGGAGGTGAAATAAGGAGGTTAAAGGTCATCAAAACAAATAACTAATAGATGATAGCAAAAAGATACCTAAGTTCTAAAAGAGAGGTGAAAATTAATTACAGAATTCAAGGTAAGGCAACAAGTTATTACATAATCAAGAAATTTGTAAAATAGTAATGCTGACTTCTTAGTCATCATGGGATGACTCAGAAGAGTTACGTAAAATATAAACAAGTTAATAGAATCAGTTAGAATTGTAAAAATTTACAAAGTCAAAAGATTGTTATAAGGGGAGGGAAAAATCGTTTTAAAAACTTATTACATAATATGTAGTTGGTCATTGGTCATTCTTTCGTACACATAGATTTGGCTTGATCAGATGAATTCCGATTCCTTCTGCTGTATGTAAAAAGTCGTACTCGTAGACCATGCGAGAGGTTGGGCGATGTATGACAAATAACTCTAAAAGCTTTGTTAGAGTCGATTTGATGTATAGTATCGACGAGATGAGCCAGTATTGAGCTGCGTATAGCTTTATTCGGACCTTCACCAGACCATGGTGGGTGGCGTTCAAAAATCCGATGACGAACTTGCCTGATCGTACGCCCTATGTAACTAGCTCTGCACGGGCAGAGGCGAAACAAGGCAGTCTGTCTTTATTTCTTGAACTCAAGATTGGTCGGCTAGTGATAACACAGCATACCTTAGCAGTACAGAAAGTCTTTTTGAAGGCCCTTCTCAGACGTTGTGATAAGATCTCACTACTGACATCTCCCGTGAATTGTAACCTTAGAAAGATTGATTTTTTCTGAGAACAGTGGGCATCTTCGACTTTTTACTTCCAGAATTCATGTGTTTATTCACGAATTTAGTCGGCTATCCGCTTGTACTTAGTATATCACGTATATTATCGGGTTCTTCGTTCAGTGTTTCATTTGAGCAGATAACTCTAGCCTAGTGAACCAGACATCTAACCAGATTACGTTTGTATTGTGGAGGCATGAAACGCAGGAAGTGAGTATATTGTCCAGTGGAAGTAGGTTTTCAATACAAACGTCTGCATAGTGTTCCGTCTGTTCGTTTAGTCATTAGGACGTCCAAAAAGGGGATAGAGTCATTTTCTTCTTCTTCCTTAGTGAAGCTTATGCCACAATGTACTCTACTGAATTTATCCAATATATCCTTAGCCTTACTTTCTTTCTTAACAACCATAAATGTGTCATCAACATATCGGCAATAGAAATCAAGATTATATATATATATATATTACATCTTTAAGTGGACCATTCCCTAGTTTTGCCAAGAAAATAATCTGCTAGGATTGAGCCTAGTGGCAACACCATCTAATTGTCGATACATTTCTTTATTGAACAGGTTAGTATTCCAATAAGAAAATCATTTCTCCCTTGGGATGTCAGCTGATCTAGCTGCAAGTCTTAAACAGGACGAAATGCGAATTCTGAATCATACTTCTAGTCACGAACAACCGAACAGTACTTTGTTAATCTTAAGATATCGCTGAAACCTCCTCACTGGGAACAGACATATCAACAGAGACCCAGAATTTGGGCTCAGTATAATCGAATCGTGGGAAATACCCATCATGATATTAGGGAGAAAAAACAAGAATCTCAGCTGTTCATGTTTAGTTACACATTTTGGACTCGTTTATTCGTCACCACGGTAAAGTATTCATAAAATAACAGTCCCTCAGCCCACTTTGATATATTTTGCTGTAGCTCAAATGTCCGTCAGCATGGCGCTGAAGAGTCGACTACGAAGCACTTTGCAAAGCAATTCAGGATATTCATCATTCGTAATGCAGTCTTCCGGGAAGTCAACTTTTTCACTGACTTCGGCAAGTGTGACAGACTACTTTAGAAACTGATTTACATTCTCCATTGCAGAGTGGTTCTGCCATTTTTCCAAATCACGGAGAGTATTCGTCAAGACATCAGACAGAAAAAACAACCCAAAGGAAATACAAACCGACTTAAATAATTCTGTTTATAAGTTGGAAGTTAATTGGTGGTTGATGACTAGCAGTGGAAGCTAGGATGCCCGTTTCGTCTTATTTGGGACTCGTCATCTGGATGTAACTGTGTTCCCCAATGAGTGATGGTGTTCTCACTGAGCCTCAAACCCAGTACCCATAGTTTCAAACGTCAAAGCTTTATCCACTAGACCACTTGGGCCACGAGAGCCACGGTGGGAACACCGTCATTCACCGCGGAATGCAGGTGCATCCAGATGACGAATCCCAAATGGGACAAAATGCGCATTCCGGATTCCGCTGCTAGTCATCATCCACCAATTAACTTCTAATTACATGCCCAGGCATTGTCGAAGCATCTGCACAAGAAGCCGACGTGTCAACATGAGACCGAGCACTTCTGTCCAATCAATCGACGGAAAAATCTAAAATTCAAGTAAATAGATCTGTTTATATTTTATATGAATTAGACTGAAATAAAAACTATGAATAAAAATGCAAGAGTTCTCATTTTATTACCGTCTTCTCATTTCTAAGAATTTCACGATTGTAACGTTTGTGCTGTTAAGATTAGTAGTAAAACCTAATTATATTAATTTTATGCATATTCAAACTGTAGATACCCAAAAGTCTTTAACTACAGTCATGAATATTTTTTCGAATTATCAGTGAAGCTCCCCTACATTAACTCTAGCTGTAAGCTTATAAAACTAATTCATGTACGCATATTATACGTTTACAGAAACTAAATTTACATATGCTTGTGGAATATCTGACATAGTTTTATTGCACATTGCTTTTCATTTTGTTATATAAATATTTTACGCGGTTATATACTTTTTCGTTCGTTTCGCGATTTTCGAAATTTGATTTCGTTAACAATATGTCTTTCAAATTATCACTTGTGCTTCTTAATACAACGTTGTTCTTTTTTGACCATGTACAATGTTAGCACTTCGTAGAACGTGAAAACGTGGATGTACTGTAGTATTATACTCGAAATTATCTTTAGTACACTATATCAGCTCATCAGACGATAGTAAATGAACTTGAGAATGCTATCTGTGTAGTATGATATGCATTAACTGCATCAGTTAACTGGAAATAAATATATTATTTCATATTTGATAAAAATCGCTAAATTTTACCATATAAGGATGATTTACTGTCTTCATAAACAAACCAAATAACAATTATTTGACTGAATATAAAATGACAATTAATATGACTACAAACATTAGAAAGCAGTAAATATTTTTTGCTTTAATCATCAACAAGTCAAGAGGAAGATATTTAGAATAGAATTCCATACCACATTCTCCACCGTTTGTGAAACTATCAAAAATCCGAAGTGTGAGGTTTACTCATTCTATAAAAAAGACTTCCTCCTGGGTCATGAATGCTTTTGGTAGATAGATTTGTAATTATGGAAAATATTAATGGTTGGGGATTATGAAATAAGGTTGAAAGTGTTTTGCAGCAACTTTGCTGCAACTTTAATTGTCATCTTGAAAGAGATTCAATAGTTGCTCTACTCTAAGTCAAACCAGATGGGAAAGCTTTTCAGGCTCAAGTTCTTTTTTTCAAAGAAATCAGTTAAAATGTGAACAACTGCTTCCTGACATGATCTGAACCAGTAGCTTTCTTGATTTACAGTGACTCGTCTAACAGCCTGAAGTGTGAAACTATGATGAGAAACAGGTGTTTATCTGACTGCTGTCACGCTGGTATCTTTTTGATAATTATGAAATATCAATTTATCACCAATTGACAGCTTGTTCACCTGGATCTTATTATTCCATTTCTGGTCGACTTAAAATTCAGAGATTAGGTAAGTGGCTTTTGGCAGTATACACTTTCTGAGGTAGTCCTGCTGTGATTAAAATATTAGTTTCTTTCATGAATAATTATGGCATTTGGCACGCTTTTGTGATTTAGTCAGAACATGTGGAAACAGCAGTGGTAACACTATTAACAGGATGACTTGATATTTATTTATCGGCTTTTATAGCCTTACATACAAAACAGTATTTTAGACAACTTATATATATATATATAAATATATAAATATATATATATATATATATAGATAGATAGATAGATAGATAGATAGATAGATAGATATAAACTTCATATAAAAATGTGTCTACCAATTAACTTTTTCATATGGAGCGAGCAAGATAAGTAGGTCGTTCGATGCGTGTTTTATCTAAAAGAGTCAAAGAACATTATCCAGCTTGCCTACTGAAAGGTAACAGTGGATCAATAAAGAGTGCTATAACTGAATATATAGTCAAAACTGGTCAATAAATATGCACGGAGAATTCATTCAAAGTCATCTGCAAAGTCAAAAGAAGCCTCCCGAAAACGCTGAGCTTTCGTATACTTTGTATTACCGAGGCCTTAGCTTTCCGAATAGAAAACCCTGATTTATGCAAACTTCTCCATCTTCTCCTTACAACTTGGGTATAATTCCAAGTTCTACTATCTGGTTAATAGCATCTCTTTTTGAATGTTTGCGTGACATCTTAGTAACATCTTCCTCGTCACCAACTCTTTATTTGCTCTTCCTACCTATTACATAATTTACTTACTTACATAAGCTTTCATTGACATCCTATTCCATATTACGCCATCCTTGTCAACACTCACCAATCTTCACCCCCCCTAGTTACAATTTTGATTTTTTTATCACACTTTTGAAACATTCTGATGGCGTAAACAATAACCCTAACTATTTTTTGTTTGACAATTCCAATATATATGAGCATACACAAAATAATTATATATAAATGCGATTGTACAGCTAAGTGAATGAATTTGCCGAAAAGAGGCTCTTCACCGAAATTTTAATTCTTAATATTCATATCTGAATGGGTATTTTCCGGGAATTAAGATATATTCCGTCAAACTCCGGAAGATTTTTCGATATTATCTTGAAGTGCAGTAAGGAACTAAGTATGTTTGATTAAATGTGACTAACTTCCTCAATCTGAAAACTTTCATTTTTCCACTTGGATGAGTTTTTCACTATTAAATGTGCTCATTCAGAAAATAAAATAAATGATAAGACTTTACAATTAATAAAAAAAACAATAGACGAATTGCACAGCTTTTTAACTTAATCTCAATCAAACCCTTTACAGAAGGAATAAGCTAACTGTGTAACTGAAGATCAAACAGAGAATAAAGTAATGGATGTGTATGGATTCATACTGTCTCTAAAATCTAAACAAACGAATATAACGATCTATACAGTTAGGACAAAGTCAGTAAACATGAAATGGTGTAAAACGCTCTAATTTCATGTAATTAAGAACACCTGAGTCATCAAAGGGATCTCTTTTCGTAATTCTACTTCAAAGCTGTCCGGTTATTTAAAGGCTGCAGATTGGCAACAGAGGTCAAAAGTTATTTTCAGTTAGTAAAAAAGTAATAACTGTTTGAAAAATTGAGAATAATCTTACGTAATCACGAGAGTTCACAAATACTTAGTTAAGGAATGAATAATCATTTCGAATTAGCTTATAAGAAGCAAGAGAACTGAGTTGCAAAAACAGAAAACGTACTACACAGAGCTTATCATACAGTACAATGAACAGACGTGGAGAAGCTGAAAGCTACTATGAGAACAGTTAGTGAAACAGGGAACTTCGATTGTAAAACTGGAAACAAATTTCCTAGAAAATTTCGAAGTACCTAAACAAATATCTCAAAAAGAAGAATTCAAAGCCAAATTCCCATATTTAGTTCATACTTTTTTCTTTCTTTTTCCTTCACGTTTCCCAATGGAACGTGGGACATATTCCTCAGTAGCTCATGTATTATAATTATTGTTCCCTTGGGTTCCTAGTGGAACATACGGCTTCAACTGCACGTCTCCACTTGCCATTTCTGTCTTCCTTCTGCTGTACTTTTCACCTGCATACATGTTAGTCCATACTCTTTCAACTCCTGTCTCTTCACACCATCTCCTCCATGTCACCCTTGCACTGACGTCCCACTCGCCGCTTCCCTTTCGGCCTGGTTCCACTCGAGCAATGGCCTGACGCGCGCGCGATGTCATCCAACGGCGGCTTCCTCAGCGAGTGAGTGTTCAATCCATCTCCACTTTCTCCTGCATATTTGTTGGTTGGCGATTGCTTCCTGTTTTGTTTGTTCCCAGTCAGAGTTTCTTGTTGGTGATTCTTTCCGACCCGGCCATCTGATCTTCAGTATAGAGCCAGCGAAGACATTTGTTGTTGATAAAGGTGTGCAACAGGCTGTTGGAAATATTTTTTGTGACCCGTCCGCCCGCCAAGTTTCTGATCCGTATAAAAGACCTGACTGACTTGACGTCATTTGTATTGAAAATCCAACCGAATTTTGTTGTTGATGCTGGCTGAGTGATTGACGAAGATTTCCAGATTGGTTTCAGGTTGGTTGAGGTGTTTCTCGCCTTCCCGATTCTCGCTCAATCAGACATCCTCATCCGTTCCAACTGCTTGTAGCTGAGACAATACTCCCTTGACAAGTGAAGTGAATGAAGTAACCTCCTTCAAATTCCTCCCATTGATGGTGACTGGCGCTTGATGTTGCTGCTGCTGTTGTTGTTGTTGTTGATTGGAACAAGTAATTACAAATTTTTTTTTGATTTTTTTTTTGATTTTTTTTTTGATATTTTATTTACAGCTTGATTCCATACCGTATTTTTGGTAAAAGTATGGAATTTTCAGCATGGATATCGGTAGCCCAAATTTTGCAGGCCGACCATAGATATCAGGTGTGCGCCGGCGTGGGCTCGAAACCCGGACCATGTGCATGGTCGGCGAGAGTCCTAACCACTGTGCCATGATATCTTAGAATCAAGTAGAATATTTCGAAAAAGGTGGGGGTCAAAAAACTCTATTCACAAGACTCATACACCAACGCTTCCCTCTGACAATCCAAGGTCTGAAATGACGTTCATGCACCCAACCAAAACCGCATAGTACAACATATAAGTGCACACCCAACCACAAGAAAAACAATAAAATTAGAGATTAGACAAAATCCAAGACAGATGATAAGTTTTATACTTGTATAAATAATACAGATGATAAGGATCAAATTGACATGCGCTATGCATATGTCAAAATAATGTTACACAGTCCAGAATTATAATTACGTAGTTGAAGCACCTAAATAAGTATAAATATTGAGATTTGATCGCTCAGAAGGTATTTTTCAAACAACGTTTTGGTTACACAGAGTATCTTTATGGTTCCACTGATTTTTCGAGAAGCAGTTAAAGTAGTCTTTACTTTTAAAAGCAGTTGCATTTTCCTAAAATATGTTATATATGTCCAAATCGAGTTCAATTTTAACAGGGCCAGGTAGGTAGGTAGTTACCTGGGTTCCAGTGGGAAGTCGTGACCAGTAGGGTGCAGCTGGTCGGGTGTGAGGACAAATACTCGCCGAAGACATTGGCTAGCGGTCGCGCTATGTCGTGAATTGGCAGAAGTTAGAATTCAAGGACCATTGGATCGGGTCCCAGTTGCTTAATGGTATACGAGCTCGCCTTGTAACCGGAAGGTCCTGGGTTCGAATCCCGGTGGGTGCGTACTGCTGAAGAGTCCCAAACTAGGACGAAACAGCTGTCCAGTACTCCCAGGTTTTCCAATGGTTCTCTAACTAATGTCAGCTCATGATGAAATCCTGAAATCAATCAAATCCCTACAAACCAACACTTGAATAATATTTCTTTGTTAGTCGGTGTAATTTGTCTCTGAAAATCTTTACATTATAATCGTTAAATAAGTTTTCTCTATTTTCAAATTGTCAAACTGCCTAATGATTATTATTCGCTTTTCTTTCCGATTCAGGTAAACAGTATATATTTATTCTACAGGATTCGATATTTTTTTTCTAAGTCTATCAGCTAGTACAACAGTCTTAAGATAAACACGAACAAATATACTGAATACTGTCCAAAAGTTGATTCATTAAAATTGTTTTGGTTCACTGAAAGTTATACACAATAAGACATTCATTTTATTTAGATTGACAGGCTTCTTTTTTATATATCAAGCAATAACAAAAATACAGATTATATTCTTTAGAAATTTCATCTAGTGATTGATATATAATATGTAGACTATCCTAGATCTAGGTCTAACTAAGCAATGTTGGAATTGAATAGTAACTGAAGTATGTGTGTTTCCACTTAACACCATAAGCTACACAATTCAATCAATGGTATTAGGATTGATACCCTAAATCTATCTTTAGCAAATCACTCATTCATTGGCTTACCAATAAAGGCCAAGTTAAAGTTTAAGCACCACTAACAACCAATGGAGTGCGACCACATCAATGACCCTGAGATGCTCACCGAGCAAGTTAGTGATACCTGGCAAATAATGTTGTCATCATCATGAAAATATCCTCATCAAAGTGTTATGTTATTAAATGTGATATCTGGCGAGTTTCAGCTTAGGTTTGGGAAAGATTACGCTACGGTTTAAGCCAAGAACTAGTTAGGGTTAGGTTAACGTAATAAAGGCGACATTAGGGTTGGTTCGAGTTAGATAACAGTTTATTTAGGGATATTTTAACGTTACGGTTAGATTCATGAAAGATAACGTTTATTGTTAGGTTTAGAAGACCTAGATAATTACATGCATAGAATGTGGTTAAATTACTCTGTTGATATAAGAATAGAAATTGTGCACTGTGGTAGAGTATAATTCCATTGTGGGTAAAATTCCTTTTGATAAAGTCTCACAGTGTTATACAGTAATATTTACTGATGACGTTTCGAGCACAATTTATTGCTCAGGAGATATTACTTCATAAAACTGTGAGATCAAAATAAATTTTACCCACAATGAAATTACACTCTGTTAATACTCCAACCAAAAACTGAGAGCTGTTTTTATCACACGTGAGAGGAAGGTATCCTCTGTAACACTTTTCTACAGTTTTTATGCATTTATTTCATAAATACATGTATGCCACACACAAAAATGCCTCCTTCATTTGACCGGTGTGTTCGAGTTCATTTGCTGATCAATAGTTAGTGGTACTTAAAGTTTAACTTTGTCTCAATAAACATTTCAGTGTCGTAAACCTTCTTTGTGAAAAAGAGAAAATAACAAAGTGTTTCGAAGGTACTTATCACATCTGTATGCCATTCCAACTTGCTGGAGTAATGTAAAAATACTTTTCAAAGGACTACACATCAAGAGTTCTTTCTAAGTGAATTCCTGCTGAATATCAAACTGTTCTATAGGCAGAAAGATGTATCAATGCTAGCTTTCTTCGTCTTTATAATAATACGCTGAATAATAATAATTTTTTTTATTCCTAAACAGTATTTGTGATACAAAGTGGAATTCTCACCAATTTTACTACAGTATTGCATCCAGTTAGTACATTAACAATAAATAAAATTCTACATAGATTAAGGGTAATCTCAGTTCAATATGACAACAACATATTGGAATGTCGGTAGCATAGCAAAAAATTGAACAGAGTGTTTGAGTTTGTTAGAAAAGAAGGTGGTAGCATATTTACTGGCGTAAGCAGAAGAAAGAAACAAAACAGCACATAACAGAGAAAGGAGAGAGAGAGAAAAGGAAAAGAAAGAAAGAAAA